CCTTCAGCGATTAACCCGAAAGTCGATTCGCATACTTTCGAGAAGGAGGAAAAAGCGCGGGCTAATCTTATCAAGAGATGTTACGAGGAGCGGGCAAGGTCTCACGGGATCCGACAGATAAACCAATAAATCTGACTTTTATTGAGCAATTCCTCTCGAGAACCTGTCCTCGGCGACACGTATAGGTTGAAGGGGGTCACGCGGAATGACGAGGGGCAGGGGGGGAACGGGCGGAGAGCTCTCTTTCGCTACAGCGCCATACTTCCTGTCCAATCACAGCTTCATTTGTCTCTCACGAATAGTCGCCGGGCACCTAGCCACCTGAGATCCCGCAGATACGTGGAAACGCAGGTACCGTGGAGGAGAAGAAGAAAAAAGGAACGAGCCCCGGTACCTGGTTCCACGGGCGTGTTAACAGCCGAAACTCATAAAGACGTTTAAAAGTGGCCTAATAGAAAGAGACGGGGCCATCTCCTTTTTCACTAGCGCCTCTATGCCTCCCTTCGGTTCCACGGAGTCGCCAGACGCCGACGCTTTAAAAGGCGGCGACGATGAATAGGCCGTTCACCGATATTCGGTCGGCCGGCTCTCTCGTATGTGTATAGGCCGATATTCTCATGGAACGACCGGTTCTCCGATTCGAGGACCGCAGCGTCGCTTGAAAATTATGAATTTCTCGGGTAGAGTCCCTGGTCTCGGTCGCCCGTGTGCCCGACAGACGACGCGCCGAAACGGACGATCGGTCGAAAATCAGTCGCGAAATTCGGGATTGTTCCTATCGGTTGGAATTTCGGTCGACGCGGAATCGTTAGTACCATCTGTCCGAGCGAGGAGTGTTTGAAATCATGTGGAAATCATCCGAACGCGCTGTATTTCGGTAATTCTATGAAATAACGATGCATCGTTATCTCGAAGATAAGAGGATCGAGTCGGACGAAGAAGAGACGTCCCTGGAAAGGGTTCGTCAATCCGAAATTTACGAAAGGTGTGATCGATTTCCTTCGTATCGCGAACGAGCGGATCGCGTTGAAAAGGGTTGATGCGTTGCCGGTGAAAATTACTTCCGCGGTTCCCGTTAAAACGGCGCGTATCAGCGAGCGACGGTAAAGGCAGCCTTTTTTTCCACGGAGATGATGCTCGCACAACGATAATCGGGCCCAGGAATCGTGCGACATTCGCGATGAAGAAACTGGCTGAATGAAAGGAAACCGGTGGTGGTTCACACGAGGCTGGGCACGCACGTCGCTCTGCCTCCCCGACCATTTACTTTAAAGTAAAGCGATTTCCTTTTACACATTATGATCCCACAAGAACGCTCCGCGGCGACGTATCCTCTTAGATTATCCTTCTGTACATACCATTACCTCGACACGCGAGCCAAGAAGAAAACTGGTGAGTCGCCTACGCCGCCGCCGCCGCCGCCGACGACGATCCAGAAAAATTGCGGCTGATGACTCCGATATACTGAAACAGATTGCAGGCATTACGAACGAAATGTTACTTTTTCTCGTGCCGCCGCGGAGGCGGAAGATAATGAAGTAAAATGTCCTGGAATAGGAGGAAGAAGGAAAATGAGTCGTGAATACTGTTGGAAGGTAACCGGTAGAAGTGTCGAACGTGGTATAAGGAAAGCTAGAAACGGTAACTTTTATTAAGGATTAAAACTGATTTCGAAGCATTGAATGTGTCAGCTCGAATAAACACGGAAATGAATCCTCTCATAGTTCGATCAACGATCTATTCGTGAGTAATAAACCAAAGGTCGGTGGTATCGGTCGAAAACATCGAACAAATATCGCAGCACTAATTTCAGAGCCCCCGATTCTAGTCTCACCTGCCATTCTTCGCTCATTGACGGCAAACCATTCAACCCAGCCCACGGAAAAAGGTTCCACCACCGAAGGAATACGTTAGAAACAAGGAATGAATGAGAGAATGAATCATGCCCGAAAGTTTCCTGCCAGTTTCCCCGAGAAAGCCTCCGAGATCGAAGATTGCCTCCTGGACAAGACTGCCCACTTTACGCCTGGGTAGCAGGTCAAGCCGGCTAGATAATGGGATTGACCGTCCCCCGGACAGGACAAGATAGTGAAGCTATCACTCGAGGAAAGAGATGACAGCGGGTTGCCCGAGCCTCGTGTCACTGCGGTATCGGGATCCCTTTGATCGCGCCGGGATAAAACTCCGTCCGGGAAATTTTCGTCGTTTTCCACGGTTCTAATCTGATGGCCAGCGGAGAGGTCCGAGCAGAGACATCTAGAGAAGCTGAGCCGCGCCTACGGAGACCATACGCTTATTACGCCTCGGTGTTCCGTTAACGGAGCGATCGTAAAGTTTTACGAGACAGGCCGAGCCCGATCGCCGTCCGATTCGCCGGCGATTAACACGTTACACCTTGTTCTAGGATGAGTCGCGTCGTTGACGAAACGGCGGATCGGGAGGATTCAGCGATCGGGATCCCGCTAATAAGATCATAAAGGTCCCGTGGAGGCCGGCCGTACGGCGGATCCTCTCCCCACGGAAGCGGGCAGATCTTGTCTATGACAAATTGCGCATAAGCCGCGGCGACCGCCGTAAAAGCCCTCTACCGTTGATCGATTCCCTCGCCGGGCGATTTTCCATCGCGATATTGCCGGCGCGCGAATCACGCGCCCGTTCGCCAATTATCGCGAAATTTGCATGCACCGGCGCGGCATCCCGGCCGCCGCCGTCCCTCAAATGTTGTTAATGATGATGCGAACGGACGGCCGAGCGCCGCGGCGTTCGTCCGCTGTAAATCAACTTTTAATTGCGACGCCTTTCGATCGGGGAAGGGACGCTGTAAAACTGTTGCTAATACAGGCGCGCGAGCGCGGAATATGGGAGCCACCGGGCATATAATATACGGCGGCGGGGAAAGGTTACCCCCGTTTTTAGTGCCCGCAGCTACTGTGCCCTTTCTCGTTTTGGTCCCGTTTTTCGAGCGGAAGATGAAATATGTTTTTAATGCGCCGGGTAATCCCGAACTAGCGTTACTGAATTTACGGGTGCTCTCTAAGCCTTGAATTTATTGTACAGTAAAACCGTGATTGTTCCAGGGAAACGGAACCGAGAACGCACACAGACGTGTCGCGATAACCAATCGAACGTCCGCGGCCCCTACCCTTTTATCCGCGCTCCCGTAAAGATTCGAGTCTATGCTGTTTCTTCTGGCTGACATTCTTCCTCCGTTTATTCCCGTTTGCCACCGTAACCGCGCCAAACGATCCACCAACGGAAACCCGACTCGTCAGGTTCGTCTTCGGGTATCGACGCCGGTTTCTTCCCTTAGTTACGCGGCCGTTCATCCTTTCCCTCCGAATTTATGTTTCCCGTGGAATGCGCACCTCAACGATGATAGTTCTCGTAGACTTCATACCGATTCGGAATGATTCCGCGAATCGATTCTCGCGCGCGCGCGGAATCCCCCGGCCCCGTAAATAATTTGACTTTCGTATAATTGAACGTTGCGCCGCGCGCCGGTCCCGACAGGGGATGGGAACGAGTGGAGGACGATAACAACGAGGCCGACGTTGCACCAGTCCAGAAGGCGAATCGTTACCGAATTATTTCGAGGAGAGGGAGACTGACAGCCGGTACCAAAGCGCGATGGTTAGGGGCCTTCACGGACAATGCGAATCTGTAATTATAAGCGCGCCGTCTTCTGAACTGCCAGCTCTGCCCTTCCGCCCCGCGCCACCCTCTCCGGCCGAGCCACGTCGTTTTTTTCTTTTTTCCACACGTAAAATCTCTTGCAGCCCCGGTATTATCGCCTTAAATCAACAGAGCCGCTCCTATGGGTCGGTGCCAGCGCGGCCCGAAAGGAGTTCCGTGGCCATGGTCTGGGACCCCGAAACCGGGGAGGGGGATGGCACGAGAGGGACTTTAATAGTAGGTCTCGCATAATAACCCACGTCCCGGGGCCCAAACTGATTGTCATTGCAGTAGATTCGATCACGTGAGTCGGCACTATCGGTATGGCAGCAGCGGCGTACGGAAACCCATCGATTCGTGGAAGAACGGGGAAGGAAGAACCTAACCAGGACCAAGGCTCTTCGCCGGATCATTCAGATGACGCCAACAGACGTGCAACGATGGCGCACAGGTATACAAAAACCCGGGATGAAGCTTGCCGACGTGTTGCCGCTGTTTCTCGGTTAATTGAAACAAATCGGGCGCAGTCGCTCGAAGGTTGATCGGAATTTTCGGTACAGTGATCGTCGATCGGTTGCGCACCGAAAGTTTGTGGTAGCTTTTCGATAATGCCGTTGCATCACAGTCGTCAGGGTTCCCTTTAACGCGTTAAGCGGCACGAAAATCTTGGCCGGTTTTTCGTAGAGTTAGTCTTTTGTAGCAAAGAAAAGTAGGGACAATTATTAATTATTTGGCGTTGCAATCCTTGCAGTGCGCTATTATCAACTTCGTTACGTTATTGAATATCTTCATTCGACATCGGTTACCTTGCATGCTGCGATTGTTTTCGAGTAACTCAGGAGCGTCAGTCATCGGTGACTGTCATTACGCGTGGTTTTGAACATTCATCTCAACTCGTGTGAGAACCCTTCGTCGACGATCGGAAAGTTATTGCACCCTTTCCGGTGCAACGTGTAACTTAAGATTCGAGATGACCTTTTACCATTTTTGCTCATTCAAGTATGGTGGATAATGTACACGTAATGAAGATTTTGTTAGCTTATAATGTGACTGCGGGTCAGAGCACTTTGTGTTTTGATAATAACGTATCATTATCACTCGCACAATATATAAGATGTACCTTGTTATTTCAATCCTCTTTTCAATCCTCTTATGCTTTGAATGATAAAATCATTTTTATTCAGATTTAAATATGCGGAGACCACATCCAGGAATCAAACTCACCGCGCCATCTGTGACAATTTGAACCAACTTGGGTCTTCGATTTCAACGCAGGGTTCTACGTTACCGTCAAATTACAATATCTCATGAGTCAGGAAATAGATGGTTATAGGTAGTTCTCTCGTTATTCGTAGACGCTGTGTATGCTTTAGGGAATTACGAAATTATACGTACTTGTCGCATGGTTCATTCCTATTTTACGGATAAATAAAGATAAACAATAACAGTAAACTATATAACTGACAAAATGTTGTCGCGATTGTCTATGAATCTCGGACAGCGATTAGTGTCAACTTCAAACAGAAGTTCTCCGGTAATTTGAAAGTTACATTTTATTCAGAGGTTATACTCTTCTGCTATCGCGCCATTATAAATAGAATTTTATTACTTTAAAAATATATATTTCTGTCTAGAAAGTAATGAAATTCGTTGCAATTACCTCAGTACGGCATCAAAGTACAATTAATTCAGAACCGATTGCATGTATAGCAGATATTCCTCAAGGTACGAATATACATAATTTTTATATTTTCACATAATTAACTGAAATATATTTTCTCGGCATAGACTGAACAGTAGATCCAAATTTTAGTGTAAAACATTAGTTATTTTCATGTTTAATATAACTGTGACATGTAAGAAAACTATGGTTAATGTGTAAAATATATTTTGTAGATACACCAAATGTAGCAGAAGTAGCAGAAACTATATTGAAATTTCATCCAAATGGTGAACCTACTTCGGAAAGTTTAGGATTAAGTATATTGGACCCTATAGTTCTGGTTCAAAAAGGTCTAGAAATACTTCACACCTCTTGTGACTTGTCTTGGTGGACAACAATTGTTGCAGGAACAGTTGTCATCAGATTATTCTTACTACCATTCATGATTAAGGCACAGAAAAATGGTGTCAAGATGAAAGAAAATATGCCAATAATAACAGAGTTAAATAAGAAACGTGCCTTGGCCAAAAATAGAGAAGAAGGTATGATACCACTATTCCAGTTTGTTGATAAAAGTAATAAATTATGCTGTTACTTTTAGCTAATAAACATTTAATGGAAATGCATAAACTTATGAAGGAAAAACAGATTAGCATTCCTAAAATTCTGAGTACAATGCTGGTACCAGTATGTATTATATATTGTATAAAATAATTTGTTGTTTATAAAGATTAGAATTTAATTTACATATTTATCAGGTTCCTGTATTCATATCAATGTTCTTTGGTTTAAGAGCAATGGCAAATACTCCACTTGAAAGTTTAAAAGAAGGTGGTCTGTGGTGGTGTAAAGATTTAACTATTGCCGACCCATATTACATTTTACCTTTACTTAATTCTTTAACAATATATCTGACTCTAAAACGTTCTTTAGCTACTGGTGAAATCATGCTCCCTCCACAGATAAAATATGTCTTCTATATACTTCCAGTTATTACATTTCCATTCTTATGCAATTTTCCAGGGGTAAGCAATTCTATTTTGAATGCACGTTTTTTAATATTAATATATTAATCATTCATCCATTCATGTATTGCTTCAGATTATGTTGTGTTATTTTATAACAACAAATATTTGTACTTTAATCCAAACTGAAGTATTACAACTAAAACGAGTAAGAACATACTTGAAGCTTCCAGATATGACAAACCATCAATCTATGACTGCTGTAAACTCAGAAGACTTAGTAAAAGCAATGTCTAAAAGTAATTTTTTAATTAACCATAAGAGTTGTTTGAAAGATAATTTTTTATATAATAAATTTTAACTGTATTTCAGCCTGGTCTAATACGAAAAATGCATATCAGTCTTCAGAAAAAGAAATCACAGATACATCATTTGATAAAACAAGGAAACAACCTATGAAAGGTGTATTCAACCCACCAAAAAATCCATTGTCAACAGTACAGATTAAAACAAAAAAGAGATAATACTGAATGTATAAATTTTGTGAATACAATAGTGTTATTTATTGTATTTATTTCCCACCTTAACAATAAATAATAACTTTAGTCATGATTATTACAAGAGTAGGTAATCTTACCAAAAATTTCATGCACATTAAATGCATCTGCGACATTTTCATTTTGTCTTGTGCAATAATTTCTTTGTATATATTCCTCGAATTGATATCTTTTAACGTGTCTAATATTTATTAAAAAATACTGGTTAAAGTACTAATAAAATTTGACAATACGTCTAACAGTCAATGTATTTTCGTGGTTTGATTTTATAAAGTGTTGCCGCATTACTGTACACATTATGTTAACTATTTATAAAAAAAATCTGGTATTCGGGTACGTGGTGTCATTAATGGTAATAAATTGAAACTCGTAAAGAAACGTTGCCGACAGATAAATGCATTATTTGGCCACGGACGAGGTATAGCTAGATATAACATGCAATGTATAATTCTCCCACACGCTCCGGGGGTCCTAGGACCCCCTTAACATTTTCGTGTCACACCCTATCATATCAACTGAGGCTGCTTTTGCATGCCAGTGCTATAAGTAAAGTAAAGGATACGTTTATATGCTAATTTATCATATTTACTACTTGGTCAACTTCGATCATTTTGCTTGATGTAGTTTTCCTATGGACTGATCCCTAGAAATAGAGGGCAGAGCAAAACCTCTGATTTTTTACATAGTTGGTAATTCATAATATGTGGCACCGAGTCCTATAAGCTTGAAATGTCTACTGTACACTTTGTCTGTGACTTGACTGTCAGAGACGAGGTATACTTTGTTTGTGATCCAAGTTGTCCATAGAGTATATAAAACATTATTCGGTATTTTCATTCAATTCGGTAAAAGTTAACCTGGCATTACGTGACAAGCAATTTTCATTGTTTGTGTGCTAAGAGTTGAGTTGTAATAGAACTATTGAAAGATAAATCTGATCAAAATGGAATGTTTAATTGGAATAAAGTTCAAAGATTTTGTACTAGTCGCGGCTGATATGACTACGGCTCATTCAATTATGGTGATGAAAAGCGGTAAGAAATTATTTTAATCACATTTTCTGAATTAGTTCTAGGAGTCAAAAGTCTAGAAGTTCTAGGAATCAATTTTTATTTAATATATATTAAAATTTCATAAAACTTATAAACCTGCAATTTCTTGTAATATATAAGATGAAAAATACTGTAACAATATCTATTTCTGTGCAAGTCATTATTATATGTTTCAATGTTCCTATTATTTCAGACGAGCAAAAAATTCATAAAATCTCTGACAAACTTGTGATGGCAGTATGTGGAGAATCTGGCGATACAACACAGTTCTCAGAGTATATAGGCAAGAACATACAGCTTTATAAAATGAGAAACGGTTATGAGCTGTCACCGAAAGCTGCTGCATGTTTCACTAGGAGAAATCTAGCTGATTATCTCAGGAGTAGAACACCATACGTTGTTAATTTACTAATGGCAGGCTATGATGACGATACAGGACCAGAATTATATTTCATTGATTATTTGGCATCATGTGTCAATGTACCTTATGCAGCACATGGTTACGGAGGTTTTTTCTGTCTGTCAATTTTAGATAGATATCACAAACTAGGTAATAAACATTGTTTATAAAATAATTTCATTGTGTATGATTGTATGTATATTAAATTGTATCTGTTATTTTATATTATAGATTCAACAGAAGAAGAAGCATATATAATAATGAAAAAGTGTGTCAGAGAAATTCATAAACGATTGATCGTTAATCTTCCTTCCTTTAAGATACAGAAGGTATCTAAGGAAGGTATAAAAGATTTGGATCCAATCACTGCAAGAAGTTTGTCAAAAGAAGATGAAGCTAAAGCATAAGCCATCTGATTTAATTCATTTTATTTGTAATATTTCTTTACTTCAAGTAATAAAAATGATCACAATAAACTTTATAGATTTGTTATCTATTAATAAATGGTAATTAGAAACACAATTGATGCACAAATTAAAAAAAAGGTAGTTTTATTACATTTTTGAAAATCTTTTTTACAAATCATCCTAACTGTACATATTTTACATGATTAATTTCATGAAAAACTTATGACAATTAACATATGGTCAGAGTATACAAAAAGTTGTATGTATTTAACTGAATAATAAATCGAAAAATATCTTCTATTTTCTTAATGAGATTAAGCCTGACTTCCTAAAATCAGGCTGTTTGCTACTGATCCTCAGTAGATACGTAGATTGTACTTTAGTTAAGATTTATGAGAGGTAAATACATATATTCAAAAACACGAATCTGTAGGTGGAAATGTTTAACTTACTAGTAGATTTAAAGTGCAAAATGTACTGCCAATTACAGTATGGTAAACATTGTCTTTTATATATAAATGTAAAATTTTAACCTAAAAATATTTTCTCTAATTTTATATCTTACTACTGTCCCGAATATATATAGGAGACAGGTGATTTATTACATAGGAAGATTAAAATTGAAATTTAATCCAATGGTTATGAAGACAATATAATATTAACGTTATGCGCAGCAAAAGCTAAATTTCTAATGTAAATGGAATACTAATGCCAATTCTCTATAGAATTCTCATTTAATGTACTTTACTTGAAAAGAAGACGAAACAAATGCTTTGGTAGGAAATAATTTTTGTTTCCTATACCTTGCATTCTATTTTATATATAAGTTATAGTCTTTAGTAATTTCCCTATGCATTATTTTTATCGTATTCCCTGTTTCTTGATACTTATGGAAAACGAAACGGGAATGCGTCAATCTCAGAACATAAAATTCTTAACTGCATTTCGATATATGGAAATATGGTGTTTAGCACATCCATAGCACAATTATGTTTTTCATGATATATCTTGAGCATAAGATATAAATTATGGGTCCTTTATACATCCAATGAATTGTTCAACCACTATCAGCATGATAACAATGCTGAAGTCTGATATATCATTCAGCTCATTACAAACATTACGACGATTTCTTTGATTCTGCCTGTGTTTGTGCGCATTTTTCTGTTTCTTTTGGAACTTTCGGATGATCTTCATAACTAGAATAAAAACGATAAATTACGATTAATTTCATGTATACATTTCCTTAATCAATCCAATATCGAAAAGTATTGAAATAATGGATTTAACAGCACGTACGAAAATAATGCCTTCAAATCTCCTTTAACTAATGCCAATAATAAAGGAGTGCCTAAGCAAGCAGGCACCAAGTACACAAGAGCCGGTTGTGCGTGGTTAAATAAATGCATGATCAACATTGTGGTCAGAAGTCCCATAAAGTATGCGAAAAATGTTGAGTAGAAGTACACGTTCGTTTTTCTGCCTAAAGTGTTATCGAATCGCAATAAAAGAGCGATAAAAATTCCAGGTAAAATAATGTCTCCCAAGCCCAGCATGGCGAAGTTGTTGGCAGTGAAACCTTTCTCCAATAAATCTTGTGGAAATACTAATTTAATTGGCACCTCAAACGATTTTGCAACCGTTACCATCACATCTGTACCAAATACCCAAAATGCATCGTACAAAAGAAGACCACAGAGTAAGATGCATCCTGTTACAACATTGTTTAAATGAAGTTGTTCCACTCCATTGATTGCAAATGCAATACCAAACAAGTTATTGGCAATCCAATGCTGAAAATGATCGTAATAATATACATCTTTTGTTTTAAATAAATTTATGTGAGAAAGAAGTACATGCATTTAAATTTAATCATATACCTTTTTGAGGACATACCAAGCTCCAACAAGAGAGCAACATATCAGACACACAATGTCATGAAGGTTGAATTTATAATTTATAATGTCTTCTACTTTGTCACCTTCACCCTTAGTGAACAATATATGATATTGAGTTTTTGGAATTGCAGCAGGTACTAATGATGATATTAATGGACTGTAAATGATCATAATCATAACATGTAATCCTTGAATTAATAAATCCATATATTTAATATCAATGAATTACTCATACCTGGTAAGATGACACAAAGCAAGGACACCTAAGAAGAGGAAATAACTAACTAAAATAAGATTGATAAATTCCTTTGCACATATCTGAAATTTAAATATTTGAAATGTAACTTTATAATACTAAACTGTTGTTAAATATACATGAAAAAGCTAACTAGCTTCTTACCTTATATACTACATAAAGAGCCACTAATGTAAAACTACAAATGAAAGGGAATATCACTGCTTCTTTATGTGACATTGTTTCTGGTACTCCATTCTCTTCATATTGCGCCTGCAATGTATTAAATAGAATGGTCAACATTCTACCCTTAATATGATGTGCAATAAATTAAAAATTTTTCATGTATTTAGTCCTAGCTTAGAATTTTACAACATTAATAGGACAGTTTAACGATGTAAGCAATGTTATATAATGATTTTATTTACATATATTCTACAATTATGATTCGATGAATGGAAAATGTGGAAGTATTTATAAACAATTTTCCTTCCTTAAAAAGTGGTCACACAGGTGTAAAAGTTCTCGTAAAAAATACAGGTAAAATACATGTCAAAACGCATGGCGTACCTGCTGCTCCATATGGTATTTAACGGCCCGATAACTGCCAAAGAAAATTGGCAATACTGCCATAATGATTAAACTACCGTAAGCGATGGCCATTCCCTCGGGTGTCGAGGGTATTTTAGGGGATGTCGGGACATTTGTTTCTGTTATATTTTCAATAATTTGGGTAACGATTTCCTTTAACTCACTTGCCATCTTGAATCTATCGACACAACTACCGCATACAATTGTAATACAACGACACGACTTCAAAAACGAAATCTTCGAATCAGTGGCACCAAGATGGATAAATCTATGGTATGATTTGTCAGTAAAATATTTGTTACTTGTAAATTGACATAAGTAATTGAAAATGTGACCAATACTTCTTCAAAAATTAATCATTTTAACTAAATTATTATATCTAACTTGACTACGTTGAAACATCTACAGAATAAATTGCTTTATACAAAGATACAAAACATAAGTTGTCTGTAAGACTAAATTAGGTTAGAATGAAGCTTGCGAAGGAAGTCATCGATCGTCCACCGAGGGATTAGCATTAAGCGTGATCGCGTTTTTCTTTGGTATGAAATTATGAAGGCAAAAAGTGAAGAACGAAAGAGATATAAAAGAGAGAGGCATGAAAAGAGATAGAGGAGGCAGAAATGAAATGGAATAAAGGGGAAAGAAAGCAAAGAAGGAAAAATGAATGAGGCAGAAATGAAATGGAATAAAGGAAAAAGAAATTAAAGAAGGAGGAATGAATGAAGAATAAATACAATGATAAATAATGATAAATAAAACAATGGCAAATAAAGCAGAGAAAAATGAAAGAAGCTGGAATAAAGGAGGTAGAAATAAAATTAAATATTTGAGGATGAGAGAAAATAGATAAGACATAGAGTAACTGCCATAGAAAAAAAAGTAGTCATGATTTGTCAACTTCCGGCACACCAAATTAAAGCTAAAAACGTTTACTTTAAGATAACATACTAAATGTATAACATAGGTACTTTCTTACATTTCATTGTGCAAAATTAAAAGGTAGACTGTTCTTACAATTCAAAATTTGTCAACATTCTCGCGAAGTCTGCGCCATCTAGGATGAAATGTTCAAATCACATAATTAAGCTGGATAGCACATGATAGACTAGTTATCAATAAAATAGAATTTTCCTTATCGTTAGAATTTTACACACATTCAAATTACATTCAATTTCAAGGTTTATCCACGCAAAGAATGTATACCTCAACACAGACTTAAAATTTGCACAAACGTTTAAATGGATCGTACACTTTTTAGGTTACGAATTTTTGAGACTGTCGGTATTTCAGAACAATAAACGGAACTTATCTATGGTTCTAATTTCTATGTTGATAAGAAAGTAACTTTGAAAATATACATATGTTTTTAAATCTTGTATCTTATCTGTAGAAGAGAAGCGTTTTAGTACATGAAGGACATTTGATGTCTTGAATTATTATGAGAATGATTCTGAATTAAAACACTAATAAATATTACTTTTTATTACAAAAAGAAATAACAACTTTAGCATAATTTATTTTTTATTGTTTAGTATAAACTCGATGTTAGCCACTTAACGTCAAACATGTGACATACAGTCAGGTGACATCATAGCTAAGTGTTACCATCTCTATTTGTTTTTCAATGATTCATTATGAAGTTACCCATGTAATCTTCATGTGTCAAGATAAAAACATTTCAATACATATAAGAAACGTGAATAGTATAATATCATGATATAGTACCAGTAAGAACAGTTACGAGTCATCATGCGTGACACGCAGAACACTAAATTACAATTTACGTACGTTTAATTTCAGTTTAATTTAAAAAATGAAGCCCTTGGCATCTTTGCCCGTGATTTCAAGATTGTCCAAGACAGTAATACGTATTCTAGGATGTAATCCAGGACCTATGACATTGCAAGGTACTAATACATACCTTGTGGGCACAGGATCCAGGTAAGTGCATAACATGGAAATTGGATTTTATTGTAAAAACTTTTTTTATGTACTTTTTTTCTGTAGACGTATACTAATTGATACAGGAGACAGAAAAACTGCTGATGCATATGTAAATGTATTGTCGCAAGTTTTGAAGGATGAAGAAGCTACAATAGAACATGTGGTAATTACGCACTGGCATGGAGATCATATCGGTGGAGCAAATGACGTTCAGAATATGTTAAAAACCATGAATTCCACTGAACCTATTAATAGTACAATATGGAAATTACCTAGATCATTAGAAGACAGTAATGATCCAAGTGAATCAGAGAAATCAACTAATTGGCAAGCATTAAAGGATAAACAGGTAATGGAAGTGGAAGGTGCTAAACTTATAATTGAGCATACTCCTGGGCATAGCACAGACCATGCTTCCCTTTTACTTGAAACTGAAGGAGTTCTGTTTAGCGGAGACTGCATTCTCGGAGAAAGAACAGCTGTCTTTGAAGATTTATATACTTACTTACAATCATTGAAAAAAATTTTGGCCTTAGAACCTCAAGTAATATATCCTGGTCATGGATCAGTAATATCAGATCCTATACCTAGTATTAATTTTTATATTCAACATAGACAAAAAAGAGAAGCTGACATTTTAAGTGTTTTAGAAAAGAATTCAAAGACCAGCACATTGTCTGAAATGGATATTGTAAAACATATATACACAGTAAGAATGAATGCTTTTTCTGTAATATTAAGTGGAATGTAGAGTATACAGTGGGCATTTTGATATTTTCAGGACACCTCACAAATTATGTGGGAAGCAGCAGCATATAATGTATACCATCATCTTAATAAATTATTGAAAGACGGTAAAGTGAAGGGTGAGAAAGGGAAATGGCAAGTTTTATGACATAACTAATTCTAATATTATAAAATTGTAAATTATTTAATTAAATTTATGCTTGTAAAATTATCCCCATAAATTTTAAATAAATAGAATCAACTATCATGTATCCTTTTATAACTTTATTAAGCTTTCCTTAATTCCATATCCAAGTTGATTGAAAAAATTATTGAAAAAGCAATGCTGTGAAACATTTATTCAACTTACAGTAGAATAAAATGATAGTACATGCTTATATTTTTTTCTCAATGTATAAGCTGACGACGCTACGAATGTGCGTACAGTACAGTGTATAGCAAATGTTACAATTTCACGAAAGTACATACCACATAGTATAATGATTGGTTTGTTTAATTAATGCAGTGTTTATGCTCTTGTTTATTTTTTAAACGACCCTTTAAAACACGTGACACGTAAATAGATGATCAATATAAAAAATATATATATATACATGTACATACATCTTGATAAATGTTTTGAGTATATATATATATATATATTTTTTTTTGTTACAAAGACATATCACGACAATAAATGTTTCAATATCTTTCAATATAAAATCTGTCTCTTACTAGATTAATGTTGGCGAGTATTCGTACACACGGTACATAGCACCCCTCGTCTTGAACAAAAGGGAGGACCCCTCGCGTAACGTGATGTTACAATATATAATATATAATATTTTCATATTTTTAATAAGCTCACTTTGTCCGATCATCTGCTTCTCTCTTTGGGTAAATGTAAAATATATATTATATATCTCAATGATATATATTTCTATAGTAGTTATTCCTCGTACTGACATATAATATAATCTCTCTCTGTCATTTTCATATTCACTTATTTAGATATCGATAACCATCAACGCAATCACATAATATTCTATTATTGGTATTAATTATCAACAAAAATATTCAATTATTAAACAACATACGAAATATGTATATATATACTATATATATATATATTATTACTTAAAAATATAATAGAAACGACGTCAAACAACAAGATGATCCATTTTTCAGAATGAAATCAAGTCAAGAAATTTGGGGGAAGAAAGAAAATAGAAGGATGCATCGATGAACTCAGTAGGGTTCAGTATAACTATTTTACGGTACCGGGAAACTTAATTTTTTCATCGTTGCTACACTCAATTCGGTGGCTCCACTTAGAGTTGAGTGGGGTCAGTACATTGACGATTATTAAAACACAATAACACAACTCGTTGCCTTTGTAAAGGAAAATACCAATATTCTAAGATACATTTACAATGGGATCATGGGAGCAGGGAAGAAAGGCACCTGGATGCGCAAGAGGCGTTGATAAAGATAAATAAAATGAATTATCACATCGGACAATTCGTAGAAAAAAAAGGGAAGAATAAAGGAGGAAAACCCTAATTGTCGCGCTCTCATGCGCCCGTCTTACTTAACAAAGATAATAGTTTTGTCAATTTGATTACAAAGGTGGTGCAAACTTCGTCCATTCTTTCGTCGTACAAAAAGCTGAATTCTTACTTTTGTTTCGTTTTGTTTTTTTTTCTATCACATATAAAGTCTGAAACAATAATGTGGCACAGATATAGAACTCGTATCAAGCCAACGGAACAACTTCGTTATTTGATTGGCTGGAGTTAGTCACTCATTCCGTATCCGAGTACCTCGAATACCATATATAAAATTTCATGTTCGAAAACATGAGTACATCAACACTACATAAGGAAACCGCTCTGATCGAAACAACTTGGATTAATGTAGCTCAGAAGATCATGCTCCGACATCGATGTCAGTTCTTGTGGCAGCATACCGTCTTCCTGCTTCCTGATAGTAGTCCCGGCCGCGTTACCGGTGGGATTCGTTATCGGTGGATTTACATTCTGCCTGCTAGGCGTTACCGGCATGGCAACCGGTGGTGACTTACTCGTTACTTGTTCGACAATGTTGTTCTGGCTGGATGGAGACTTTGGCAGGATCCCTTCCATGGCACAGTTCATCAGCTGGGCACTTTGAGTGGCCACGCTGTTCAAAATCTTCTTCGTAGCGATGATGGCGTGCGCGGTGGTCGTAGTAATTGGTCTATTGTTAATGATATCTTGTGTAGCGTTCGTGATAACATTATTAATCGCCTGTTCAGCAGCGGTTGTCAATCTTTGTTGCGACGGCTCCTGTGCGGCTCCACTGGCCAAAGCGGAGCTAGCTTCAGCAACGAAGCCAGCTGGTTGGTTTAACATCGAACCAATGTCCTGCTGAACTGCCTGCTGTACTGCCTGGGCAGCTTGTGCTTGCTGCACCGCTTGTTGAACAGCCTGAACCTGTTGCACTACTTCCTGAGTTGCTTGCTGAACCGCCTGCTGCACAACCTCCTGAGTAGCTTGTTGTACAGCCTGTTGAACTGCTGGCACAGCCTGAACCTGCTGTACCGCTTGGACTTGTTGGACAGCCTGCTGTACAACCTGTGCGTGCTGCACTACGTGCTGAACAACCTGCTGTTGCGCTTGTTGTACCGCTTGCACTGCCTGCTGTTGTGCTTGGGCGACAACTTGCTCAACTTGCTGCTGTGCCTGTGCCACGACTTGTTCCACTTGCTGTACCTGCTGCATTGCTACAACGTCCTGCTGAATGAGACCTTGGATTTGAGGAATGTGATCAGCCGCCGCCGACATTGTCTCATTGGTGACTTGTAATTGATTATGAGATGACACGGAGGCGGGAGACGTACCAGCGCCCGACACGGCTGGCTCTTGCATTGACGGTAACAACGCGGCATTGATGCTGGTTAATAGGCTTTCGTCAGGAGCTTGTTCTGGAACTGCTGGAGGAGAGACGGATGAAGCACCGTTCGCCGACAAGGGCTGTACAGTTTGGGGTGGCATCAGTGCTTCAAGAAGCACCGGTATAGGCGGGCTAGTTCTGGTTTGTTGGGGACTTGAAATGGTCTCGTGATCACTGACAGTAACGTGGCTCATCAGAGCACCGCTGCTAGGGTTCACGGTTCGAAGCGGTGAGACCAGTTGGTGAGTGTCTGCGGCGGGATTGACCAGGGTATCTAACTTAACACCTTGGGCGGCGGGTGACAACATGCTGGAAGGTTGCGTTTGCTGCGGTTGCCGACCCGAAGCGATAATGGAAGCACGTTGCTGCATATTGGCCACATAGCCGTTCTCCTGGCTCTCGACCTCTTTTACATTCGACTCGATATGGTTCAGATATTTTTCCACGCTGTGACCGCTCTGCTCAGGCAAGGGCTGAGCATTCGACGACGTCGCGAAATTCGAGAGGGCCGCGAAATCCGATTGGTGATGTTTCATGCGAAGGTCGACAACACCGCCGCCCTGGAGACTTCCATTCGGACTGCCGTCTGTCGCCAACATTGGATTAGTCTCTTTGTTGATATGGTGGGGACTTAAGACTTTGACTTGAGACGATTCGTGCATGCCGCCGTAGGTATTCTGGTGTGAGGTTACCATGGATAATGAGTGCTGGTTTCTCATCAAATCAACTACACCCAAAAGATTAACCTCTTGAACCGGCGAACCGTTCGGCGCGACTGGCACGGACCTGATCATGTTAGTTTGCGACGATTCAATCGTATTCTCATTAACCAGCTGTTGCAACGGGCTGGTGCCTGTCGAACCGTTCGCTGTCGGGGTGGGTATACTTTGCATACTGTTTTCGCTGATCATGCTGTTCTCACTGTTTTCGTCGAGTACTTCCGTCTTCAAGTTATCCGGCAGGATTAATTGAAGATTTGAGGACGATCTACGATTCAAGAGTGGGTTTGCGACCAAAACTGGGGGCGGCATCATCACGTCAGGCGGCGAATTTTGGCAATTTGGACTTTGCGTGGCCCACATCATAACTGGCGTTACTTGCGAGGGGGTTGTTACCGGCGGCGGGCTTGGGTCGCTCTTCAGAGCTTCGCTCGTTTGAGACGTTGCTTGTTGGGGTTGCATCGTAGACAAGAAGGTCGGCGTTCCGCCAGTTGCCTGAGTGATCAGGGCTGAAACATCGGAAGCTTACATGTACTTTCACCAATTTGCCGTTTGAGGAGAATCATAGCGAGAGAGTATTTGTATACTCACTTTTATCCTAATAGTTTTACAGAAAAATAATAACGCATTGATACGAAGTGACGAAGATCTCGTGGTCGAAAAACTATTTCACCGCTGAATATCGGTGTAGCAATCGAATATCAATAAATAAACTCTTACCTTTGAATGTCAAATCGATTAATAATTCAAAACTACTACGTTGTTTTCGCGTATAATCAAACTCCGTATTGTATCAATCGCCGTTCAATTGTATTTTTACATGGTATTACTACAAGACAATTGAACCTTCAAATACTCTAATTTCGTGGACTCCTTGAGACGACATTAAATTTCACTCACTGTTAGCTGGTACACCTGTCGTCAGGGGCACCGCCGAAGGGGACGTGGTCTCTCCGTTCACCGCAGGCAGTGGTGGCGTTAGGGATTCGGCTTTGCCCATCGATGGCTCCGGTGGCGTAGAAGCAGCGGTATAAAGGAACGTGTGCGGTTCGCTCGTCTTTCCAGAAGACACCGCGTACAGTTTCACGCTGACCGTTTCCGAGGGTGCCAAGTCCTGCCGTCTGTAAGCGGGTACGACGCAAACGAGGTGAGTCTGTTGCAGGAACTCCTTGTCAGGCAGGACCGCACACTCCCAGTGTGGTTCCAAACTACTCGATAGGTCGTCGTTGTCCAGTTGAAACACCACACGGGTGTCCTTTAAGAAGTTCTTCCCCAAAATGAAGAGCTCCAATCCACCGGTGCAGGGACAGGAGGTGAGAGACTTCTTGCAGATCTCTGGTATACCAGGTGGTTGAGCTGCAACGAACAATCAATTGTACGATAATATACAAACCAGCATACAGCGATTAGCTGTTTTGAACAATATATTCCTCTGTACATACTACAAACTATTGGTTGCGAGCAGACTTGCAAAGTCTCCGAGGTGCCATCCGGATGAGTGATCGTCGTGCGAAAGACCATGCGACAACGGGTCGATTTCTTTTTGCTACGACCTTGAAGGATCCCAGCCTCCTGCGGAAATCTGTGCTCGACGTCCACGTTCCGTTCCTTGAGGATCCCGACGCAGTCGCAAGTGACCATCATGTCCTTCGTCGGGTCCATGTCCACCTCGATCACTATCGTCCCATCGATTTTCCGTTCAATGCAGGGCGTCGAGTTCTTGCCGCTGACGCGGCAAGCCTGGTAGAACATGTGGGGCGCGACACGGCCGAGATCCGTGCCGATGAAAACTTGAAGGGTCGCCGGTTTGTCGTAGCCGACCAGACGTACGATCGGGAACCCGTTCCCGGTACGATCCTTCACCGCACCTCTCGAGCCCTCCGTTTGGTAGCGAGCCCGGTGTTGCTGTTCCGGCTGACAGATGATTTGTAGCTGGACCTTTCCGTCCGCAGAAGCGCTGCCTGAACATCGGAGGAAGACAGAAATTACATTAGTATCGTGTACTTTGCGATCGAAACCTCGCGAGCTAGTTTCTCGAGCATATACAGAAGCAAAACGTCTAATTTCGAATAATATCTCGTAAAAAGTAGAAAGAAATAGGAGTCCAACTAAAAAGGCCTACAGTTCTTGATTCAGGATCTATATATTTCTAGAAGGAACAGTGGTTCGTACATTCTTGATACAAATTTCGATTAAAGTTCAATAAACCTATCAACGTTATCGGTTTTTTGTTCGATTTCAAGCTGCTTCTAGACGGTATATC